TAAAGTTTTGGAAAATGTTTATCTTGAGCTATTGTCTCTGGGAAAAAGATGTCATGATCTAACAGTAGTCTCTGAGGAAGGAACTGAGGCAGAGGAGCTCTTCTCTAAAGAGCAGACTCTAGAACAGTGTCATAATTGAGACCTTTCAATGTCTAGGATTAACCTGAAAAAAATAAGAATACTTTACATCTTGACACCTGCTAAGACATAATGACTCAATAAATCATTATTAAATAAATCATTATCAAAATAATGTCATTCAAAGAGATGATAAGATGTCTCAAATTCTATCCTTCCCAAATATTAAAACTACTATATGATACCAACTATAGTAAAACTTCTAATGAGATCAATTTGGAATCTTAATTCAAGTTATTAATTGCACTTCTAATTAAATATCTCAAAAAATCAGAGAACCTATATATTTACCACTGGAAGAGGAACAATAAATTTAGGACACTTCACAAAGATAGTAAAAAGACCCAAATTAGTCTGTTTCCCCAGAACTAAGATTTTAGAGGGTGGGAGAAGGAGAAATGACACATTTTAAAAGATGGCAATAAATTCAAACACATAGCAGCAAAAAAAGGTGAATTCCTCTTCAAGGTTCCCATACACCACTATTTTATGTCTGACAGATGGCAAATAACAAGAAAGAAAAGTACATTTCAAAAGAGAAAGTGTAGTAAGGTATTATAGGGTCAGACAGTATTTTCTAAGATGTTTTTAGCCCAGGGGAGGATTAGACCTTCAAACTAGGGATAATCTGATAGTAGTAGCTAAAAAATGATAATATAACTTCCATCAGAACTAAGCAGCATCTAACTTTGACTTTGGAAGAGCGAAAATTGCCAAAGGATTGTCAAAAATGATGACTTTAATAGTTACAGAGAAAGCAAAACAAAGCACAGATTTTCTTTATGACACAATTTCAGATTTTTTACTTTTTTATCGTTTACATTATTGCCCTCCCTTTTGCCTCTACCTCCATTCTCACTACTAGAAAAAATCAGGCTATCACACAAATTAGGTCTCCTCTTAAACCTCAGCTCATTTCTCCTGTTTATGAACAGATCAACTCCCAATTACATTGACCACAGCACTCGGTTGATAACATAAATACCCACACATATCATCTTCTGTTGTGCTTCAGAATGATGGTCTCACACCACTCATTTAGTGAAAAAAAAAATGAAACACTCTAGTGTGAAATATCAATTTTTGTATCAAGACTATCGCAGCCAAATAGTTAATTACAATCTAATGTGAGAAATAGATTCCAGTTTATAGAAAACATCAAAGGTGGAATACCAACCGACCCCGACCACCAAAGCAAGGAAGGGAGGGGGAGCAAAATGGACAAATTCCAGGAAGGCAGGAAAGAGAATCCAACGTAGAACTGGCCCAATCTCAAGTCAGTGTCACCCCGAAGAGTGTGGTGTCTTGACTCAGCCATAACAGGACGTAACACTGAACACTGGTCTCCCTTTTGCCAGACAGCATGAGGAACTGAATTGCTTTCTCTAAATTAAAGTGGCAAGATGTCTAAGAAAAAGGAACTAGTAAGGTCAACACTAAAACTCATGCCTTTCACTGCTATCTCTAAGAAAGCACAAGTGTCCCTCTTCTTCCACATAGTTTCCCTTCCTGAGTACCTAATCGTCTTTAAACAGTTTTTCCTATCAATAGATTTCTAATCCTTATTCTTCTGCCTCTAAACAAACTCGGGCTGAAAAATCTTTCCATTCTCTAAAGACCATCTCTCTTACTTTATATTCCAACTCCTCAAAAGAGCAATCCTCCTATAGCAAAAATTTAGTAGAGTTTCTAAGCTGGTTTCTCTAGAAACCTGCAGAAATGGTTCACCTAAATGGGTATAATTTCTCTTTAAGGAATCTAAAGCTACTGATGGTATTTTAACACTCCATATTTAAAACAAACAACAACAAAAAAAGGAGCAGAAGAACCAGGGCTTCCTGGTGGCGCAAGGGGTTAAGCACCACACTATGAAGCAATCCACAGCCTCTGCACGATGAGTTCGATCCCCGGGCGGCAGGGAGATACCCACATGGCGCAGCAGACTTCTCCTGACTCACCCGCTGCTCCCCTCAGCAGTGTGTTTCAGCCAGTCTGCCTGTTCTGTTCCCTGCTCTGTCTCTGGTGAAACCTCTCACCCTCCACACCTCTGGCCTGTACCCCAGTTCTTGTATAAATAAATAAATCAATCTTAAAAAAAAAGCAGAAGAACCCCTCTGGTTACGTCTATTTCAGAGATGATTACTGTCTCCTTCTATTTCCTATTTTGCTCGATCACTCTTACCCCTCCAACTCAAGACCCTTTTGGCCTTTTCTGCCCATCTCCAAACATTCTTTGGATGCTCCAAATCCACTGTGACAATTAACTTCACTAAAGTATTCCCAAGCTCATCTATTTAACCTCTACACAGGCCTGCTATCCTTACTTTTCATTCTGCACAGGACCACGCAGGCTCTCATTCCTTCCTGCTGGGTTACTAGAATGTCCTCCAAAGTGGTTTCCTTGCATCCATCTATCTTTCAGCACCAAACCACCAGGATCAGCTTCCTAATGCCCAACTCTGACTATGTCTCACCTCTGTTGTAGACACTAGTTGCTCTCCTTTTCCTGCGCCAAATGAATTAAAGGTAATTTCTCATGCTGAAAAATTAGATTCTTCATACAAAAGATAATTTAGCCCACATTTCCTGACATTTACTGGAAACGCCAGAAAACCAGACAAAACTGTCTTTTTCCTAGAAAGCTCGTATGGTCCATTCCTATCCTTATTCATTCTATTCCCAGCCGACAATTTTCTCAACATATCTATCTTAAACCCTGGAGTCTTGCATTCCAAATGGGAATTAAAGTTGTAGGTGATGTGAAAGTTGTTAATCAGGTGGCATTAAAAGAAGGGTATTGAGGGCGTCCCCGGTGGCGCAGCAGTTGACACTGGGTTGCGAACTGCCCTCAGCCTCTGTAGCACTGGTTTGATCCCTGGCCGCTGGGCGAGGGAACCACATGGCGCGCAGAATTCTCCTGCCATGCCCGCTGCTCCCCTCAGCAGTGTATTTCGTCAGTCTGCCAGTTCTGTTCTCCGCTCTGGTGAATACTCTCACCTTCCGGCACTTCTGACTGTCAGTGCTTGTATAAATAAGTAAGTCTTTTTAAAAAAATTAATATACTTAAAGGATTGTATTTAGCCAAAAAGGTGTTTATCAGCACAGCATATTTAACACAAACACAAAAAATGAGATTCTCAAAAGCATTTTAACTTCTTCCCTCTAAGTATATCATTTGGGAGAAGGTATGCCAATATCCAAGTATTATTACTGTCCAACTAGCAAAGCAATCTGTACTATGAGGAGGACATAAAATAATCCCACTGAAATTTTAAATTCTAGAACTCGGTGATTCATTCACTCAATTAAATTCACTTAATCCCTACTGTGTGCATTCCTCTGTGTACTAGGGATACAATGGTAAAACTGTGTGAATCCTCGCTATCAGGGAACTGATAGAACACAAACAGTAAAAGATAAATGAGCATACATTATATATATATATATATATATATATATATATATATATATATAATTTTCTTCAACAGTGAGAAGAATTATACAGGAAAATAAGGGAAATGTGGAAGAGAGGAAATGCAAAAGAGATGCTGTAATTTTATATAGGAAATGAGGAGTTGATTTAAGGATGACAGCAATGCAAAATCGAAGGAAGTTCTCGAGAAGGATAACCGAGACAAAGGAAATAGCAGCAACCTTGTATTATGATTTGGCAAAGGTTAGAGAGACAGACTACATTAGACACTGTGGTCAATGCACAGTCAGTCTCTGAGTTTGATGATTTCAGTGTCTTGGAATCTTCAAGATTGAAGGCCAGATGTTGGTCCTGGACAAATTCATGAGTTCAACTGAAAGACCCCCCAGAACCTGATGGAGGGTCCCGGTGATGTCAGCTCTTCTAGGCTCTGGCAGCAGTGGGAAGGATTAACCAGAGGGGACAACCAGAGAAAGGGTGACCGGTGACAACCAGCTGCAACAGTGCTTAGAGAGAGGCAGAAAGGCGCTGGGGGTGGAAAAGTAAGTTCACGTGCTCTCAACAGGAAATAGTACGAAGGAAAAGGCAGAGGAGAACAATTTTTCAAGCGGGAAAACAAAACCAAAAAGGAGCAGGACCACTTATATCCGTGGGAAATGTAAGGTCATTATGTGAACGCAGGGACTCCCCACAATTTAAGAAACCGAAGGCCTTGGCCTCGTCAAACTTTTAAATTATTAAGATAGAATTTAAAGTGGGAAACACAAAACCTCTCCAGGTACAGTCATAATTTAAAGGAACCAAATTCAACAAATGTAAGTAACACCAAGTATATATTAGTATACCAAGAGATATAATTAGGCAGATCCTTAGATTAAAATGTAGAAATTAAGAGTACTTAATATTCAGTCATGATACCCGATTTCAGTTTAAAGCTCTTAAGAAGAACATTTCAAAATATGTATTTCATGTTGCTAATCATCAAAATATGGTTAGTATCTTGGGCAATATTTACTGTAATCCTACTGAGAAAAATCGTCAAAAATGGTATGTGCTAACATTTCCAAAAAGACTTTAGCCAAGGACAAAGCTGGGAAATGAAGTCTTAATTATTACCAAAAATGAAATCAGAATAATATTCATTGAACATATTATATATACATAATATTAATTAAAGATATATACTGAAAAGGAAATCAGAATGAAATTAACTGAATATTAATTGAAGATACTGCTGCCAATATAAGTTTAACTAGCATACAGGGAAAATCTTAAAGGGAATTATATTCAAGTGGTTTAGGACTTTGATTTTTCTTTCCCGTGAAAATGTTAAACTACTTTTCTAGGTTACATGGTCAGGAAGAAAAAAAAATAACTCAATTCGCGAAGCACATTGAATATTGCATGAGTAAGTTGGAGAGAAGCTTACCCAGTATTGATGGAAATGATTTCTATCAGTGGATTCTTCCTAATCTTTGGCAAATCCAATTGTGCTCCCCCCAACCGTTTTCCATTATCCTTCTTCTGACCCAGCAGTCTCACAGAGTGACCTTCAAATACAGCATATAAATACACATTAACATGAATCACACAACTTCACTTTAATTTACTGCTCTCAACAAATGTGTTAATATTTGCATTTAACTTTTTTCTTTCATGGCGAAAAGAAAAAAATAAAGAAGATGTGATCATTGAACCTAAGAAATATTGCCAATGGGAGAAACAGCAGTGCTCGCATCCTTCAAAGTGCTAATAATATTTGCACGTTTATAGTGCACATAGGAGGGGCACAGAAATAGCCTCCCAGTGTCATTCCAGGAGGTATGAATGCTCCCAAGCAGCTCACAGCCCTATACATGCAGCAGGAAGGTGTCACTGGAGCACTGGGGCTGCTGGACAATTGTACTGCTGAGAAAAAATTGCAAAAGTAGCGCTGTCTACTCAAAGGGCAGCTCAAAAAAAAAAAAAATCAAAGAATTAAAAAGATCAGATAAAATGACACTTTAGAGATGGAGCCTTTTTAAAAAGTTCCTTAATTCATGTTAAAGAAACATTACAAAAGAAAATCAAAACACTCTAAGACATTAAAATTTTCATAATTATGAAATTTTTAATTTATTGCCATATAAAAAATGGAATAGTACAAAGAATTCCATTCCCCTTCAGATTCCCTAATTATGTACTATATTTACTTTGTCATTAACATTTTCTATATGCACATTATTTTTTATAACTGAACTATATACCTTGTGAAATTCACCCACTGATAGTGTACAACTCGATGGTTTTAAATAAACTTACACAGCTGTACAATCATCACAACATCAAGTTTTAAAACACTCCCATGACCCCACAAATTCCCTCAAGCTTATAGTCCATGCCAGCTCCCATACCCAATATAGTACATTTTGTTAAATCTGTTGCCCAGCTGAAGGACAACTGGGTTGTTGCCAAGCAATACCTATATAAAAAGCTTCTTTATTTTTTAAAGATTTATTTATTTATACAAGATCCAGGGTACAGGCCAGATGTGCGGGAGGGTGAGAGGATTCACCAGAGACAGAGTGGGGAGCAGAATAGGCAGACTGACTGAAATACTACTGAGGGGAACAGTGGGTGAGACAGGAGAGGTCTGCTGCGCCATGTGGGTTGTTCCAAGGCCAGTGGGGATCAAACCAGCACTGCAAGGTTGCGGACAGCTTCACAGTGCTGCACTCAACCGCCTGCACCACCAGGGAGACCCTAAAAACACTTCTTGGGTATTTGTGTGGACACGTGTTTTCATTCCTTAGGGATTCCCAGGAATGGAATTGGTGGGTCATATGGTAAATTTTAACTTTATAAGAAACAACTGCTTTCTAAGGAGGTGGTATCATTTTAAATCCCACAGGTAATATAAGAGTTTTCTGCACATTGTCACTGAGATCACTTTATACTAAAATATTTTCCCCAATATCCATGCTAGTAGGTATTTAGTACTATCTCCTTGAACGTTGACTATGCATTTCCAAATGACCAATGAAATTGAGCACCTGTTCATATTTGAGCTCCCATGTGCACTCCTTGTTCAGTAGCATGCTCTAATGGCCAATTTCACGTCAACTTGACTGCGTCACAGAGGGTCCCGACATTTAGTCAAACATCATTCTGGGTGTGTCTGTGATGGTGTTTCTGGCTGAAACTAACATTTCAGTCACCACAGAGTACAGCAGAGTGCGCTCCTTCATACAGGTGTCTTGCCAGGCTGTTCCATTCAGTCACGGGTCTTTCCCAGCCTCAAACGCGAAATGAAGTATTAGCTCTTCATGGGTCCCGTTGCTTGCTAGTTGTCCACTACGAGCTCTCCTGATTCTCAGACCTTGGGACTTGAACTACACATCACTCTTAGGTCTTCAGCTCGTCAATGTTATAACTTGGGGGTTCTCAGCCTCCATAGTGCTGTGAGCCAATTTCTTATTTCTCACTTTATGAACACACACACACACACACACACCCTAGCTGTTTCTCTGAAGAATACCCACTAACACAAATATCTACTAGAGAATTCTGTCAGTATTTTCACTACAGTATTTGTCGTACTTATTCTGAATGTAAGATCTTTATCAGGTGTGATTTGCAAATATTTTTTCTTGATCCATGGCTTATAACTTCCCTTTGATGATGGTATCTTTTGAAAAATAATTTTTCAATTTAATTAAGTTCAATGTATCAATTTTTTCTTTTATCACTTACGCGGTGTTATAGGTAAGAACTTTATGCATAGCCCAAGAACACAAACATTTCTCCTGTATTTTTTCCCTAGAAAATTTAGTTTTGGGTGCTTATATTTAAATATACAATTCACTTTGTTATTTGTGTATAGTAATCATCTAAGATCATTTCTACATATGGATATTCAATTATCCAAGCATCATTGCTCCTTCATTTTCCTTTGTACTACTTTTATCACACATATCAATATACAGTTGTATAAACCCCAAAATATTATCAGAGATATAGATACACTTTCCCCCTCACTCACTCCCTCAAGCTTTCTCCTGCAATGGAGTACTACACAGCCATGAAGAAACATAAAATGGTAGCATTTGGGACAAAATGGATGGGCCTCAAGGTGATTACGTTGAAATAATTCAAAAAGTAAAAGACAGATATCAGACACATTCACTCATCTGTGGAATATAAATACCAAGAAACATTCATATGCAAAGAATAGTAGAAATAAATCTTGAACTCAGCAAAAAGAATACAATGGCTACCAGAGGAACAGGGGAGAGAGAGGAGGGAATGGGAGAGAGGAGGGGGTGGGGCATGGACACAGGTGGTTTGATGGAGGGTAGGAAAAAATGTTTAAAAAGATTGCATTATGTCATGAACATTTTATCCAAAGTAATTAAATGGCATATCTTTAAAAAACACTATGCTATAATTATAGCTTTATACAATTGTTTTTTTTAAACAAACATGGGGCCTCCCTGGTGGCGCAGCGGTTGAGTGCTGGGCTGCGAAGCTGCCCGCAGCCTCTGCAGTGCAGGTTCGATCCCCGGCTGTTAGGCAAGGGTCCCACATGGCGTGCAGACCTCTCCTGCTGACCTCTGTTCCCCTCAGCAGTGTACTTCGGTCCTTCTGCCTGTTCTGCTCCCCGCTCTGGCTCTGGTGAATTCTCTCACCTTCCCTTGCTTCTGACTGTACCCAGTGCTTGCATAAATAAATAAATCTTTAAAAAAATAAAATGAAACAAACAGGTGAAAAATATTTATAGTGTACTTTATATTTACCAACATAATTCCAATTTCTAGCACTCTTAATTTCCTCTTGAGAATTCAAGTTATCATTAGGTAATAATTCCTCACCCCTGAACAATTTTCTTTACTATTTCTTGAAAACAAAGTCTATTAGCAACAAATTCATTTATTTGAAATTCTATTTTGCTTCACTTGTGAAAGATACTTTTGCTGGATATAGAATTATTAGTTCTCAGTTTTTTGCTCAATACTATTTCATAGCATTTGACCCCTAATGCTTCTGAATATTCATCTTACTGTTGTTCCCCTGTTGATGTCATTTCTTTCTTACTCCTTCAAGGTTTCCTCAGGCTTTCTAAAGTTTGACTAGTACAGCTAGGTGTGGATCTCTGTGCCTTTCCCACATGAAACACATTTAGCTATGGATCAACAAAGTATTGTTTTTCTTCAAGTTTGGGAAGTTTTCCGCCAGTACTGTTTAAAACTGAGGTGGATTATTTTTGTTTTTATATTGTTTCCGTGTCCTTTCCGTCTGCACATGGTGGATTGCCAGATGTTGTCTGAAAGGATGGTGAGGCTCCACTCATTTTCTTCTGTTCCTCAGGTTGGGTAACGTCCATTGGCACATACACAAATTTACCAGTATTTTTTTGCCACCACGAATCTGAGACTGAAGTCCTCTAATGAATACTTTATTTCAACTACTGCATTTTAACTTAGATTTCTTATTGTTTTCTGTATTTTTTTATACTTTTGTGATTCTATATCCAAGAATCCCTTCCCCAAATACTTTGTAAGATGGTTCTGTTAGTACATAAAAGTCCAACACAAAGACAACCTGTACTGAAGCTTTTTATTTCTTTAATATGTCTTATGCTTGATTTGGTTACATTTATCATAATATTTTGTTGAATATTAGAAATTTTAGATAATATATTGTAGCAACACTCAATTGAGATTTCTACCCCAAAAGTTGATTTGCTTTGTGATTTACCTACTGGAGCCTCCACGCTCATTTTTTTTAATGCACATCTTAACAGATTGATAAATGTATTAAAACCTTCCTTCTATAATGAAAGATCACTGACACACTCCCTTCTCACAATATTTTCCCCCCATAACAACTTCCCAGGGTTCATCTCTCTATGTACATAGCTTTTTGTTTAGTCAAAGACTGATCACACAGTTGCCTTAAGCCATTAAGATTCCTATTAGCAGCTGATGGATTTATATATGCGCCAATGAGGGCATTTAAATTTAGGACTATTTTCCAGTTGCCCCATTCTAATTTCTACTGGGCTTTCCTAGATCTTCCCCTATCTCCTTTAGATGTGCATGCAGGCTCAAGCAGGTTGATAAGCGTGGGTGACTGGTGTCCACTCCAATCTCTGCTGTGCATGAGAGTAAACCTCAGTGAACTTAGTCGGTGAAGACTTATCACACCACCTATCATCTCCCAGACATTCCTGATAAAACTGTGTCTACTACACCTGTTCACCACTTTCACCTAACAGGTCAAACTGCAGGTGGGTCAAGTCACAGACCCTCCCTGTCACTTGCCATAAAAATCTCCACTTTAACTGACAGAACTCCTAATCAACTGAACCATCTTGGAGTAGCAGTGAAGCCATGAGTTTTCACAGCCTGCTCTGCTTTGGCTGAAAAACCTTGCCGCAGAGCTGAGCAAGGAAAATGGCAGTAGCCCCAGGCTCACACACCACAGACTCATACTGTTCTTACCCACAATTCAGTTGTTTTCAAGAGTAAATACATCTTGGTTTGCTGAATATTTTGTTAATTTCCAGAGT